CCTTCCAGAGGATAAAGGTCCTTCGTGGTTGCAGGGACAGATGGTCGGGAGGCGTCTTTGGGCGTTAAGATAAAGTTAACCTGAGCAGGTGTTTATGTGCAACCCTGAAGGAGTTGTTTACTGCTACTTGGTGTAAAAAAAAAAAAAAAAAAAAAAAAAAGGCCTACTAATAAATGATTTAAAAAAAAAACTGCCACTCTAAATTAGTGGTCTATCAAACACTTTATTAACTAAAACAAGCGGTGGATGTTCTGTCAGTTTACAAAAATACATAATTTTTAAATTATCTGCAACTCAGCACAAAAAAATTATTATGTTTTTAGCTTTAATTAAAGGCATTCTTTGTAAAGTACGAAACCAAACGTATAACGGTTATTCTGAACTCTGTCCAGTGATGCGGTTTGAAAAAGTTTCCTCCGATAGTTTTCCAGATTTGTTGACGTGCAATTCTGAAATCTGGGTCCACGCTCAGTGTAAACAAAACACTCGACTGAATCTGATGAGACACGTGGAAGCTGAAGTGACTGACCTAGGGTGGCTGTACGTAAACAAACATGGCAGATTCAGACAAACGTAGAATTTCACAGACGTTAAGGCGGAAATAAAATAAATCTGCTGCTAATCGCTAAGAAAGGACGAGTCAAAAATAATGATCAGGGATGAAGCGAGGCAGAGCTCAACCTTCAAACACACGTTAAAACTTCTGCTGGACTTGTAGGTTCGACCAATTTCCAGTCGCTTTGGCTGTTTCTATAGGAAACATGTAGCTGGCATCCAGGTAAAAATTTGCTTATAAGTTTTCAATTTGGGGACAAATTTAGGAGACAAATATTTTGTAGATTGTGTTCCTTTCTTTTGAATTATTTTTTTTATTTTTGTGGTCATCATGACATTGCAATGAGTACCTTTAAAAGTAAAAGTACATTTAAATATCTGAACATTAGTATATATATGCGTGTGTGTTACTAACGTAGTTATTTTGCTTAATTTATCTCATTATTTTGCTGAAAAATAAATAACTTACACTAAATGTGGATGTTTAGATTTAATAAAAATGTTTATTTATATTCTGGCTGTGTATTCAACCAACATATAGTCATCCTGTGAGCACTAGGATTCATAGCTCTAAAAGCTAAAACATGGTTCGAGTCTGACAACACAAACGTTTATGTATCCAATTTATAGTAAATTAAAAACTATTACTGTTTGAGCTGAAACCATATAAATCTTACTGAGACTGTCTTGCAGTGTGAGACTTCATTCTATATAATTAATGAAACATAAAGTGCATAAGTTATCACTAAAAAGATGCAACAAGAAACATGATCCACTCTGAAAAATCACTGAGATCAGTGTTCTACTGCCCCCCAGAGGAAATCTGGAGAACTGCAGCACAGCTGAGCAACATTTTGTACACAATGTGTGTTCTGAAATTATAAGTGCTATTCTTACTGAAATAAATAATAAATATTAAGAACTTATAATGAATCTGTTAATAAAACATTTTCTGGATTTTTTAATGCAAGGAGGGAGTGAATGAGCGCCGTGTTGCATCTGTACTTTCACCCAGTACGGATTGTAAATATTTCTTAGCTTCCGTTTGGTAATATTTCCGTACAAGTGTAGTAATGACAACAATCAAGCCAAATGAAAGCAACACCAAAGTTTCATCTGGCCCAAAATAATGACCACTTAAGTTCATTTAAACCCTCTAATGCCTCATATTACTTTTGTGATTGTAGTTTCTGGTTTCTGCTCTAAACAGGAGGGGTCGAGTTTTATAAATAATCTGCTTTTCATTTATAATTCCATGTCTGAGAATTCAAATTGTTTACGTATAAATTGCCAGAGGAAAATCACGTCGCGCTACAATTTATTTGTAAAAAAAAACTGTGTTCAGTGAGGCAACTTCTCTCCAGTGACTCTTTACTGGTTTAATGATCCAGAGAGCACTTAAGCCAGATCTCCTGCAGTCAGTATTTATAAAAACGATTAAGATATCAAGCTTCTGAGACAGAAAGTACCGGATCAGGAGTCATCAGAGAGTGTGTGTGGCGTTAAATGAAGTGGCCCCTTCTCTGTATATTAGTGGTTAATCTGCCCTAACAAGATAGACTGGGCCGTGTGGCTTCTGCAGAGCATCACTGATGATGGGACCAGTAATGATGGAGAGCGGGACGCTGGCAGCTAAGCCCAAAGTAAGCTACTTTGGCTTGAGGCAACGCACGGCTGGTCGCACAACCACTGATGTGTGTGTCCAGTTATTAAATCAAATATGTGACACCAAGTAGCTTAAAGCACCAAAAAGCCATAAGGACACAGCTTCATCACTCCATCACGCTACAACGTTGAGTTCAAAACTTCAGGAAATAAACCTTTCATCGTTTTTAAATGACCCCCCCAAGTGATAAAAAAATACCAACAACCAGTCCGAGAAGAAAAAGAAAGTTTGTTTAATCGTGCTGGTTTTCATGTGGCACTTTGTTTTAATCCCTTCTTTTATTATTACAACTTCCAATATTTGCTTGAAGCTATCCTTTGATGATTCCCAATTTTCCACAGAAGTCCAGGCCTGGAGTCTGAAGGGAAAGCTACGCATCCCTGTAGTTCTGGCTCTTATTGGACTTCAAACAGAACCGTATGCTGCAGCATAAATCCACGCTCAGGATCAATACCCAGCTGGAAAATGAAACCTCTTCTACAAATGTTACTGAGCCGACGTGCCTCCGCTAAGCAGCTGCATTTCTCTGTTAGGATCCAAAGCAACTTCACTTCAAACAGCTCAATATTTTCTCCAGCTGAGCTTTCCTCCACCACTACTTCACCAGATTCACAAAAAAATACATTTTACAGTCAAAACATTTACCCTTCTGTTACTGCGCTGACTTTAGGTAACGTTGGATCTTTATTTACTACAATTTTCTCCAAAGTGAGATTTTGATTTGAAGTTTGTGAAAGTGCCCACAAAATGATTAAAATCCATCCACATAAAATAACAACTGTTGTCCTGATTTTTTAATAAACCCTTTAACACAGCTCATAATTACTGAATAAATGTGTAAATATTTAAGTGTAATGTGAATAGAGATAACTCAAAAGAAACAAAGACATGAACAACAGCAGTTTCATAGTTTAGATGTTTTATTGGCTCAGCTGATCTTTTGTCACCACAGTGGGTGAAAAGCTCTGAAATGCAGCTGGAACATCTGTTCTACGTAGAGCCTGTAGCACAACTGTAGCACTAAGAGTTGAGCTTTTTGGAAAGAGGCAACTGAAAGAAAATACAAAATGGCACAGAGCAGCATACAAGGCAGATTTTCATTAACAACACTGTCAATGGGCCAAATATAACTTGACAAAATGTTCATCAAACGATCCTCAAAAACAGGAGTTTCAGAGAGAAGACACTGGAAAAAGTCTAAATATGAAATGTAAATACTGTAGTCCCTCGCTACTTCGCGGTTCATTTTTCACGGATTTGCTCTATTGTTTAAGTACTGTACACGTACATCATATTTAAAAAATTTAAAAAAGGCGCCATCATTTTGTAGTTTTCGTTCATTAAGTCTTCATTATTTTGCCAGTCTAAAGAACTACGTTCCCCAGAAGTCATCAGTTCACTTCCCAGAAGTCAACACTGCTTCAAACGGAGGGAAGTCAGAAGTAACGATAAGAAGCTCACAGAACCGGCAGGAGGAAAGTCACAAATAATTCTGAAGCTTTCATCCTTCAAGTTGCATCTTCACTGCTGAGCAGCTGGGCTGCAGCTGGACTCTGCGTGACCCGGATCCTGGGAGCTGCAGGGAACAGACGGCTGCAGGCTTCAGTCTGGTTCTGAATGACCGGTGCTGGTCCGGACCGGGCCAGAGGTGGTGGATTAAATCCTGGGCAGCCTTGCTCCTGAAGCAGCAGCGGTGGCCTTCAGTCATGCTGCACCGGGACTTTTTTCATCTATCGGGTCGGACAGAACTGAGCCGCTCCTGTTCTGCAGAGCTCTTGTACGTAAAAATGTTGTAGCTCCTGTACATATGAGTACTGAATGTTGTTAAAACTAGTAGGTTTAAAAGTTTAGAGGACTGATTTGTGGGCTTCATTGCTGCAGGATAGTCTGCAGAAACGAACAGAGTCGGAATAAAATAGAGTTGGACCGGAACCAGAGCTGTTGCTGTTCTGAAGTAGTAAGTAAAATTTAGTAACGTATGTTGTTAAAATGACGTAGGTTTAAGCGTTTAGAACATTCCAAGAGTGTGGGAAGGGTTTCTAAAGCCTTAACATAAAGTTGACTATACTTGAACTTGGACTACTTTATTAGAGCTGTCATTTCTAACGCGGGCCTGAAGACATGAGAATGTGCTGGATGGGCGGGCCAAGTCGGAGTCGAGGCTGTGATCCAATTATATGGCAACATGGCTTGCCATACTACACCAGCCGCACGCGGCCATTTCACCGCGAGCTGACCGGCCTTGAAAGAGGTAAAATAAAGTCCAGTTAACCTTCAGATGGGACTATACTGCCAGGAAGCGATCCATCGGCCCAAATGGACGTTGATTCAGCCGCTGCACCCAGAGGACGCGCGCGGTCGATGACCCCAACAGGTGAGATCCCAAAGCAGACGTGTCAGAGAGGGATTAATGCGCTTTGATGCAACTCTATACTTTATACCTCCATCCCTACTTCGCGGTTTGTCACTTATCGCACGGCTTCAGGGTACAGATCCACCGCGATGAACGAGGGACTACGGTATGACAAAGCTACAATACCTAAAGCGATGCAGCTACACGCAGGCCTTAATTCTACTTGACAGAAGACATTTCATCGGAAATTACCCTTTTTTTTTCTTCTAACACTGAAAGCAACTTTTAACAACTGAGGACATTCAAAAAGCAACAAGCTTGGCCCTTGACGTTTGTTTTTGGTTCAGAGTCCAGACAATGATATTACAGAACAATCCCTTTGCAGTTGACTTTTTTTTTTTTTTTGGGGGGGGGGGGGGGGGGGGGGGTGTTATATTTTTGGTTTGAGTCCTTTTTCTTTCTCAAACTGTGCGATCTGGTTAAAAATGTCCAACAGGTTAGCAGGGACATTTTTCTTGGACGCACCATCGCTCTGCCCGTTATGACTTCCAGCACTGTCCGACGTTTTATTTTGTCCTTGATCAGACGTCCTGCTCTCCTCCTCACTTCTTTTGCTTTCCTTCTCTCTCTCTGCCTCGTCGACGTCCTGCCTGTCTTTGTTCTCGTACCTACCGGAATCGAAGGAGCTTCTTGTGGATGAATCGCGTCTCATTCTGTTCTCAGGGTGTCTGGAAGTAGAACCAGAGATTCCTGAATATTCAAACTGGAAACTAGATCTCCGGGAGGATTCCAACTCCGCTGATGAGCTGGATAATTTCCGTGTTTTATTCTCCTCTAAGCTGCTCCTCCTCCTGCAGTCACTGTCTCTCCTGCATTTTCTGTCTTTGCTCTTTTCCCTGCTCTCATCCCTTCTTTCTCTACTCCTGCCTCTCTTCTCCTCCCTCTGAGGGCTTCTGCTCTGGCTGTTTATTCTCGTCCTCGTCCAGCTCTCGGCTCCGTCCCTTTCCTTTCTTTCTCTGTGAGAACAGTTGGACTCCTCATCTGAAGCTGCTGATAAAGAATACAGCTGATTTATCCTTCTGTCTTCCCCGTCCCTCCCCACTGCCCCGTCTTCCCCTCCCCCTGCAAACATAGGACCACCTTTCAGGTTGAGAAAAGTGGCAGAGGTGTTGGGAGGTGCAGGAAACCACTCCACTTCATCTTCCTCTTTCTCCCTTGTGGTTTTCCTGCTCTTACCCTCCTCACTTCTCCTACGATGGTGCTTACTTCCACGCTCAGACTTCCTGCGCCTTCTCCTTTTCTTCTTCTTACGAGACGAGGACGACGACGAAGAAGAGGAGCTCTTGGAGGAGGATGAAGAGGTCGATCGCTTGCGTTTCTTCTTCATTCTAAAATTGAGAAGCCTCCACTGAAAATCTTCCAGTTTAAAAAGAAGTATTTGTACACGCCACCTTAAATATCACAGAACATACCTTTTCTCCTCTTTTAAGAGCTTACGTAATTTCTCAGCACTGGTCTGGCTGCTTTTATCTTTGACCTGCTCCTTAGCAAGAGCTTCTTCTCTCAAGCGAATCGATTTCTTTACAGCCGCCAGAAAGACAAGGTAAAATAACGGCACGCAGGCGAAAACCCGTAAAAACATCCAAATTGAGTCACATCATAATCAAAACATTACAGTAGATACACCACAAACAACATGCATTCATTTAATCAGTCATTTGCATCAGAACCAGAAAGTATGAGGATGAAAAATGGCAACGATTCAAGAGGAAGACAAAAATAACACCAACATTTCAAAGAGATTTCAGAAAGATGGAGAATGAGCGATAGTCATGGATTTACCATAAAACGTGATGCGTACCATGAGCGGTGTAGTTGGTATTGAAGCCGAGGGATAAAAAGATGTGCAGAAAGTCCAGAAAGCATTCATTTGCCAATGAGATAAAAAAAAAAAAAATCCACATTACCGTATTTGAAGCAGGGACACGGCACACACCAGTGTTCAGAGAAAGAGTCGTCGTTTACACAAAGCAGGATTTTTTTGTTTTTCGTCCCCACAAGACAGAGCCGTGGCGTTAAGAAGGTCAAAGGCCAGAGTTCAGGAGTTGCAGACACAAAGACACCAAACACTTCATCAGTATTACAAACCACAGACTCGGGAAATACATTCAGACTCACAGTGGAGGCTTTTATTTGAAAAACAACACCAAAGATTTACTGAACTTAAAAAATTCATTAATGTCTGATTAAATAATAAATTGAGCAATGTGGTAAAACATCTATACATTAGTCCTTCGTTTATCATGAGGGATCCATACCCTGAAGACCCGCGATTATGTATGTATGTATGTATGTATGTATGTATATATATATATATATATATATATATATATATATATATATACACGTATATAAAAGCATTTTAAACCCTTCCCACAATCTTGCAATATTCTAAACAATGTTTCTAAACTCTAAAGGCTCTAAAAGAGCACAGAATAACATGATTTCAGCTCCCTGCCTCCGCTGCTCTCAGCCACCTGCAAGGGCTCTTGGCCACGCCCACTTCTCCGCTCTGCAGGAGAACAGCTGATCAGCTGTAGCAGGAAGTTTACCCTGCAGTGTGGGCTGTACAAAGGTGCAGGAGGAAGCTTTTTCTGCAGCTCTGGGCTACACAAATGTGCGGCAGGTGCTAAATAATTTAAAATAATTTGTTTTAAATAAAAAATTTCATGCCGATCGTGCGGCTCATCCATCAACCAGCCAGTTGTGTGTCCAGTCCAATCTTATTTTGAAAAACCATGATAGAGCGAGTCCGCAATAAAAGAACCGCAAAGTAGCGAGGGACTACTGTACAAAGAGTAGTTCACAGAGTACATGTTCACAATTCTCAGTCTTGCGGTGCCTTTAACAGAGAAATTACTGCATGTCGGGAGGAGTGGTGGGTAAAATGACTTTTACCTACTATTAGAAGTCGAGGCAGACATTTATTAATTCAGAGTTCTTTTAATCAACAGTGAAAGGGCTAACATTTTAATGATTGTAAAATCTAGTCAAAGAAATGTGTAAACTTGAGCAGTACAAATTGTCATATTTCATATTCCTTAAAATAAAGTGAATTAATATTTTGATGACATTTTACATTAGAAAATATACGTGTCAGTTCTTTTTATTTAACATCTATAATTGTTAATAAATCAAATGTTAAGAATGTTTTGATAATATTCAACAACCCATGATGCTAACAGTATGTACAATACGGAATATAAAACAAAATCTCAGGTTGTCAAATCCTAAAAGTAACGGTCTACGTGTGCAACACTAAGACTTACAAGTATTTTCATTTGTATTAAAATTTTTTCAAAAATATTAAATTTGTGATCACCCGGAAGCAGAGAGCAGCTGAACAACACAACACTGAAAGTGTCATTTTTTTGTAAGGTAAATACTTGGAAAATATTGATGAGACCATCTAGTTAAATATATTTGACACATTTAAAGTAACTATAGTTTATTTTCAGTTGTCTTTTTGCTCCCATCATAAATACAAGTCTTGTTTTTTTTTCTCCAGGTGAGATAGAGTTGTTCCTTGAACACATGTTAAATGATCCAATGACTAAAGGCTCCCACAGACTCGCGCGGACTCGACGCGCACGGTCCGCAGACGGTTGAGACTTCATACTCGAGCGTGCATTCTCGCGCCAAACTCATGTTGCCATTTCCTTCATTTCATCATTTCCTTCATTCATTCAGTCATGTCGTGAACGGATGATGAGGAAGAAAAAAGATCGTTTAAAAAAAACAAAAGAAAAGAAGGTGGTACGTAAGGCCGTTAAACCAGACCAGGGATGAAGGGAAATTTAATACAGTGATTAAGGACATGAAGACGATGGCCAGCGAGAAACATTTAGAATATTTTCGAATCGATTCGAGCAAGTTCGATGAGCTAGTTGGGCGCTTAGCCCCGTTTCTTCAACACCAGGGCAGCCACCGCTCACCTGTCAACGCTGCACAGACAGTGGCAGTCACGGAGCGCATCCTTGCGACTGGTTGCTCGGAGCAGTGTCGCTGCCAGCTATCGCCTGGGTACATCAACTGTGTCATGAATAATGTCGGAGGTGAGTCATGGAATAAACCAATGTGTATTTTTGCTCTGATTTGTATTGATGCGTACTAGGGAAGGCAGCAGTGGAGGAACTAGTAGTTTATAATAACAGTAATAACAGATAACTGTCCAGACTTCTAGCGGATTAAATTCATTAAAAACTATGGTTAAATCTTCATTATAGTGAGTCACATGTAAAAATGTACTTCAGGTACCTCAAGTCATATGGAAGGCTCTTCAGCCAGAGTTTGTAGCTTTCCCCTTTGGAATCAGTGGACTGCAATTGCACGTGATTTTTGGCGGATCTGGGATTTTTTTTCTCCTTTTAGGTGGTTTGTGTCTTTCAGTCTCTGCTGTTTGTCTATCTATTTTATTTATTGTTATTATTACTATAAATTTTAAAAAATACTACAATTATTTATTATACATATTTGTCATCAGGAGCACTGGATGGAAAACGTATCAGGAATCGTTGCCCTCTGAGATCTGGGAATTTGTTACGGTCTTGTCCCCTACTGTGAGGTGTGATAGGTCAATCTGCATATGTATGTGTGTATCTTATCTCAGCTTTATAAGTCAAACCCCACACTCCCTGTTCTTTGGATTGAAAAACTTCTCGGATAAGAAGCGAAACGTCTTCTGTTACAAATAAAGTCCGGTTGTTTTTGTCTCAAATTCAAAAAAGTTCAAGACAAAAAGTTGAGGAGTTGAGCTTTGACTACCGTGAAGAGAAGTTGGGTAGTCAAGCAGCAGCTCAAAGGAACTCTCACGAGAGAATCAATCTCATGATGAAGGTGTTGGCTCTGACTCAGTCCAGCTGAGAGGTGGTGGATGTCCAGAACTTCTCAAACACCCTGAGAATGCTGACTCGACTGGTCCCTACATGTCCCTGGAGAAAACAACCCTGGCTTCAGCATGGAACGCCAGCAAAGCCATCATATCTGCTGTGGTAATGAGAACAATGGACGCATATTCCGGTAGGACCGAACATTTTTCTTCTGATGAGAGACAAAGTGCCAACTGAGTTTGTTTGGATAATTTAATTCACAAATCTGAGCTATTTTTATTTTATTTTATGTAGAACACTTTCCATAAATGGAACTGAAAAATTGTGCACCTTACAGTGGCTCCAAGGTGTGGACGGTCCATATTGAAAAGGAGCTCATGCACACGTAATCGTGCCAGGGATTTGACTCCTGAAGGCAATTTTTTTTTAGCACGTCAGTCATTGCGGAGGCAAACCGTACATCCTCATCATGTTTGAGGAGGACTCTCTCTGCTCTCTCCACTCTACGCCAGTCAATGGCTTTCAGCCTCTTCATGAAAGCATCATCTTCCCTCCATTGCCTCTTCCTTCCCTGCTTTGTTCCGGTCGGAGTGCTTGTGCCTGGTGGAGATGACTCTCTTGGGGCAGGGAACTCTCTGGAGCAGGTTGACAGAGAAGGGGATTCCCATTGGATGGAGTTATTGCTGGAGCAGGCAGGTGAAGTCATCCCACTGGAACTGCCACTGAAGTACTAAATATCATGTACACATTGTAGAGTGATTAAATGTTGATGGAGGACTATAAATTACAATTGAACTTGTTCATTTATGATTAATTAATTCAACTCTATTTACTTTATGAAGTGTGACAACTTTTGGTTAGCTATTTAAATTCTTAAGTATCTTAAAAATAGCAAATACTTACAGCAGGCACATGTGTCTCTGTCTCACGGCATTTTATAAAGTCAGGACAGCATATGAAAAATCAGTGGGACACCTCCATTTGCAACATCCCCACTTTCTCCTCTCATCTTCTTCCTTGCTTTAACAAATCTGTCCCTGAGGTACTTCCATTTAGCTTTACAAACCGTCGGGTCCTTACCCAGGGTCTGAGCTATTTCATCCCACGAATTTCTTGATCTCTGAAAGTCCTTATATTCTCTCATTGACGTGTCATACAGATTTTTATGTTTTCTAATCTCCTCTGTGAAACGCTCTTCGAAATTTGTCTCCATTTTCATCCACAAAGGGGGAAATGTGGTCGGTGTCGCATACAAAACAGTTCCATGTGAACACAGTTCCGTGCAGTTGATTGTGCAACACAAGAATACGCGGTCGTAAAAATTGAGTTTTGCACGGTCATGCCCTGCGGGCGTCCGCTTCAACTAACATCCACGCGAGTTTGTGGGAGCCTTAACTTGGCTTATGTTTCCTTTTTGTATTATTATTGTTAGACAATGCTTTAATAGTCAAGCCTAATGTATGTATGACTCTCTGCGCGTCTTTTCTGATCTGGACTTTCTGTCGGCGTGTGCGTGTTCTATCCCGCTCACCTGTATAGTTTCAGTGATGTTGTGCATGGCCTCTTTCGCTTCAGGGTTTGAGTCATCAAGAGACAGAGCTCGCTGGTACAATCCCTCAGCTGTCACCAGTTTATCCTGTTCTTCAAGCCTAAACAAAAAAAATTAAAACTTTTAAACAAATAAAAGTCCAATTACGTGGATTACACATCGAAGTTACCACTCGATGAAAAACTTCCTCGCTTTGTAATAAATATGAGGAAGTCTACACATGATCCGTTAGGGAATCTTTTTGTTTCCACAACAAGAATAAAATTTTATTTAAAAATAAAAGCACATATATGTGGGAGCAAGTTTGCATTGGCCGAATGGTGCACCGCTTACTGTTTTCCTTGCTCCACCAGAGTCTGGCAGAGGTACTTCTTGGCGTTTCGGTGATCTGGACAATTTTCCAGAGCCAGTTCAAAGTCTGATATAGCCTTCATGATGCTGCCTTTGTTGGCATAACTGAGAAGAAAGAACAAAACTTAAATAAATATGTTTTGTCAAATATCATTTTACATTAATCATGTGTTTAAATAATTAGTTTAAAGGTGTCAAACAAAAAGCTGTGAAAACTGTGTACAGTATGTAACTGAGAAGGAAGCGAGACAAAAGAAACTTCACCCTAGAGGATGACGGAAACTGGTGAGGTATTCAAAATATTCTCGCTCATACATTATTGGTATGAGGAACACATGAAAATGACAGACAGCATTGGTGTGCCGTCTGGTTTTCTTTTGCATTTTAATGCTTCAAGAACATATTTTATTCAAATTGAAAATAAACTTACAGGGCTCCTCGTGCCACCAGCGCCTCCACATTGTTAGTATCAATGTCCAGGGCTTTGTTGTATTCGTTCATGGCCTCCACATGACGGCCATGTTTGAAGTGGTCCACACCTGCACGGACACTGAGAGGATGAAAAACAGACAGGTGTGACACAATGAAATATCATTAAGGGACACTTCATCTATTTCCTGTAATAAAAGCAAACTGTTCTTAATTACCACTTTAAGGCCCAAGATGCCGACTGCTTCTTCCTGATTGCAGAAGCAAAATCATCTTCCTGAAAACGTTTACTGTGAAGAAATTATCGATATAAGCTTACTAATGTTTGTAGGCTTCAATTTCCTCAAAGAGATACAATTTCAAAGAGTAACTCAAAGGCAAGATGAAAACAAAACGAGCGGTTGCCACTCTTACCACTGTAGTCCTCGCATCATTGACGGCGGATGCGTGTCACTGATTCCCACCTTCTCCAGGAGGAATTCTACTACAGAGGGGTTTTCATAACCATGGCACCTTCTCAGTATGCACCCATACGTCTCACGGGAGTCAGAAGCTGCAATAACACTGCGACTAAGAGGAAACAGAATTTACAGACCAGAACATAAACTGAATATATTAAGAAAATCAATTCAAATGTTTAATATATATATTGTATTTTCTGCCGTACCCACCGCACCACCCTATAAGCCGCATCGGTCCAAATATGTTTAATAAAGTGGAAAAATCCATAAATACGTCGCTTCGCCGTATACGTCACATCTATTAGGCGTCACCGCTGACGACCTGGAAACGTGGGCCTGCGTTGTGCCAAAAATCAATTGGCTGCAAAATGGCGGCCGTGGGAGAGTGCAAGGGAAGACTTTAACACCCACACCTGCCTCCACCCTCATTCGCCCCACTCTGGGCACCTGAGCAAAGCCCTTAACCCCCACCATTTGCTCCCTAAACAGGTCTCTCTTGAAAACGAGTTCTCGTGACTCGATAAGATTACCTGTATAAATAAAGGGTACTGTATTTTCCAGCCTACAAGTCGCAGTTTTTTGCATAATTTACATGCCCTGCGGCCAAAGCGACATATTTATGGATTTTTTCCCCATATTTAAACCACTTTTTTGACTAAGATATGACCGTTTCCATTCATTCTGACTGAAAAAAAGAGCAGTCACTTAGGCCCTATTTACACAGACACGATGGGGGGAAACGTAGGTTTTTTCGTATGTTAATTAGAGGAAAAGATCCGCGTTGACACGGACGGATTTTGTGTTTACATGCATCTGAAGGAATCCCCCCCTCCCCCACCGCCCTCCCGAATCTGCTGTAGTTACCATGCCAGGTCATTAGATGGCGCTGTGAATTTTGTACCTTCACCTAATGCGCCTTTCCTGTGAGCTCAAAAGCTCAACTAACAACAATTTAACAACAAGTAAAAAATGGATTTTGGATAAGAGTCGACAGATTTGACGCCAAGCGGGACCGCTTCGTCTAACAGCTCCACACCGGTCGCTGAGTGGACCAGAACCGAGTCAACTATGTCGGACATTACTCTGTGATAATCAGTAGCTGATTACAGCAGGTAAATCAACGTTCTTAATAATGTCAGTTTGTGTTTACTTCGGTTACAAAACAACCGAGTTTTTATTTTTTCCTGAAAGAAGAAGAAGAAGAAGAAGAAGAAGAAGAAGAAGAAGCTGTCCTCCCACCAGGCGGACCGGTTCTGAACGAGGCTCAGCCCAGGTGCAGTGCAGGAGGACGTCAAAGAGAGAGAGATGTTGGATCAACTATTTATTTAAAATTCTCCTCGGTTGTTGTATTCAATCCATTGAATGTTTTAAGCTGCATTAATCAAAATGGTGACAGCCTGAACGAGCCAGATAAACAACGTGGGACTTCCATATCGGATGAAAACAAGAGTCCAGTTGTTCATTAACGTAGTTTACACTTAACTTGTTTTAATAGTGTGCTCAGTTTAATTATCAGTGTTTGTGTGACAGACAGTTTGTGGTGTTGAATAAATAAATAATAATTAAACCTGATGTCTTCATTTTCAACTTTGGTGTTCACGCTATATGTTTAGCATCATTTTAAATTTGAATTACATCATGTCCAGATAGCTTCATTTAGCTCAGAGCTTCGTTATATCTCGCACACTAACAGAAATACTGTTTATTATTATTAAACTGTTACTATTTAGCACATTTAGTATGTTATAGTGCAGCGAGACGTGTGCGCGTGCCACGTTCTATAAACAGCGACATTAGAACTGGATCAGACCGTGTCTCTCAACACAGATTACAGCACCTGGAATCTGACGTAGATTAACTACGAGATTAAAAATATATTCCATCAGTCGTAGTTCTGAAAGCAGTGTATCCGCCGCCATGTTGATAGAAATATAGCGCCTGTCCGCGCGTGCGTGTGCGCATGTGGTTTCACACAAAGCCTCAGCGGGAGATGTTTAAATTATCAGCGGGGGGTCAGCGAAAAACCTCCACTCTGGAAGGTGGGTTCAGAAACCTCCGGATTCAAAGAGGGGGGCCACTGGTGTCGTGTAAATGATCAGCAGAACCGCAGAGAGAAAGCTGCGGATGCACTCAAAATACACGCCGTGTAAACGGCCCCTTAATGGCAGCAGAGTATTAATAGTTGTATGGCATGCAGTTGGCTGTTGTATCATGTAATAGGTACACGTGGCTATAATGACAAATTCAAAAAAGTTCAAGACTATAACAACTGGACTTTATTTATTATACTATACTTTATACTTTATTGTTTTTTTTCTGGAACTTTTTTATAAGTTACCACGTCCTGGATGACTGAGAATCTTCACATCTTTTAATGACTTAATCGGCCTGCCGTAATCTCCCCACCTTCATTCTGTTCTCTGCTTGGAACCGTCAAAACAGCTGCCTCGCCCCGGCGAAATGCAGCTGATTTGACCATTAAAGAGCATTTATTAAGCAAATGTTATACTGAAACACACCTTTACTAAAATTTTGAGCAAATAATTGTTTAGGTGCTCTTCTTGTTAAATATCGGTGAAACGAGCCGTTCCTCCTTCCTTTTTCTCGTCCTCTGCGCGTTCATGGAGCACCGAGGCAGCAAAACAATCTTTTAAATAAAGCTGATTTGACCATTAAAGTACATTTATTAAGCAGACGTTAGACTGAGACACGCATTTACTATAATTTTGAGCAAACAAATAATTGTTTTTAAGTGTTAATCTTGTTAAATACTTGTTAAAGTCCTCCTGTGCACGCTCCCGCGGCCGCCATTTGGCAGCCCATCGGTTTTTAGCACAACACTGGTCCACATTTCCAGGATGTCGGCGGTGACGCATAATAGATGCGACATATACGGCGAAGCGACATATTTATGGATTTTTTTTTCACTTTATTAAACAAATATGGACTGATGCGACTTATAGGGCAGAGCTGGAAAATATGGTAAATGGAAAGAAAAAAAAAACAATAAACAAGAATTAAACAAGATTAAAACAATTATTTGTTTGCTTGAAATTATAGTAACGGTGTGTCTCAGTCTACCTTGTACTTAATAAACGCACGTTGACGGTCAAATCAGCTGCATTTCAAAAGTATTCGCTGCCTCGGTGCTCCGGGAGCGCAAAGACAGGGAGGAAATCACGAAGGAGGAACGCTGCGCATTTCTTCAAAATTTAACAAGATAAGCACCTAAAAACTGATTTGTTTGCTCGACTTTATAGTAAAGGTGTTTCTCAGTTGAACTTTTACTTAATAAATGCACTTCATTGGTCAATTCAGCTTCATTTCACCGGGGCTGTGCAGCGAAATGAAGCTGATATGACGGTTGCTCCAAGCGAATTGGACGAAGGGGGCAGGCTATGGCAAGCCGATTGGATCATTAATAGCCACTTTTACCTATTACATGCCATACAGCTCGAGTGCCATCTAGCTGCTGAAAATGGTAGTGTTCAATATTTTCTGTCAGAATGAATGAAAACGGTCATATCTCAGACAAAAATTGGTTTAAAAAAAAACAAATACGTCGTTTTGGCGTATAAAATGCAAGGCATGCAAATTATGCAAAAAAACGTGACTTATAGGGCAAAAAATACGATATATATATATATATATATCGTATTTATATATATATATATATATATGTGTGTGTATTACAATTTTATTGGTTTTATCTAGCTACATTTTAAAGGCTTATATTTTAAAGATAAATACACACATTAACAAGCTACTTGTTGTAAACTAAAATATCAGATAAAATGTGTTTTTACATCAACAAACACCACAAAACATCATAAAACATTTTGTGAATCTAACCAAATAGTATTTAGTTAAGGACCCAATTGCAAGTAATCGCAGCTACAGTCTTCATTACTTTGCTCATCAATGTGACTTACTAGTTCATCTAAATTGTTCAGTAATGTGCCTCTGGCAGAGCTCAGTGTGTTACCTGTAGTGTATGGGCAGCTCTTCTCGGGTAATGACACCCAGTTTTATATGCTCTAAGCTGGGAGACAGACAGGCCTGATGGAGGGACACTGTGATCTTTTCCTGGTACCGGTCAATGTCTTTCACTCCCGCTACAGAGCAGAAAAAGCACAGATTAAGAAAAAAGCTGGTTACATTAGGCCTTATCTAAGTATTCCCTCCTCCTGCAAGAGATTTTCACTGTCTTTCCAGTTTATGCATCCCAGAACGTTTAATAACTCAAAAAAGTGCACACGTTTATCCTTCCCAAATCTTTGGTTCAGTTTAAATTGTTGATGTGGCCACTTTCTTTGGAGTAACATTGGAGGTAAATCCATCTTTACTTGCTTTATTAGTTCTTCTTTGATGGATTACAAAAGCATTGTATAAAACAAGATCACATTTTTCCACTCATCTAACGATCACAATCAAATTCACTATAGTATGTAGAGCTTATGTTGCTATTTTTTTCAGATACTGACCTCTGATCAAGTCCCCAACCTGATAGTAGGAAAGGGGATCATCATGGCTGCTGGAAGAGGGAATTTCTCGGATGTGACATAAAGCCTAAAACATTAACAGATGAGTAAAATGAAAACAGAGATGGGATCCTGTCAGCTGTTACACCAGTTTCGTTAATATTTGTATCCAACGATTTATTCAGCCAAGTAGCTTAAAACACATATAGCTGGTACATCCATCACAGCTAGCTGACAACTTAAGTCTTCAGCATTTACAGAAGTTTCATAATCTAATTAAAGTTTGCTTGTCAACAAATTTAACTTGCTGACCTACCGACAACTCAAGGTCCTCTATGTCTCTCTTCAGGCCTCCTGCCATGCAAAGCAGAGTGAGAAAAAAGCCATACTCTCGAATGTTATTGACCCTTCCCACCACAATGTCTCCTTTCTCCAAGTCCCTGTAAATCATGGATCTTCTCTCCTCATAAGGCAGCTCCATGAAAACCTCCACAGGCGGCATGATAGCGTAAGGCTCTAAAAAAAAAAAAAAAAAAAAAAAATGTTAAGACATGTCCAAACACTGTTGCATTTTATTAGACAACTCCTAAAGTCCTAAAGCTAGCTTTGCTGATTTTTCACCATTTCTATTTGCATGACTATATTTTGCTTACATTAACTACAGAAAAATACTCATATTAAGCAATTTAAGGCACATTAAAAGGTAAAATTTTAGTTTATTACTACCTCAAAGAAGGTAAAATTAGAAAGTGTTTCACTGAATGTCATAAGGAAGAGTTGTTAGTGAACCATTGCGGACCTCCATCCTCCTCCTCCTCGTGCTCCTGTTCTTGAGGATCGGCAGTTTTCCATGATAAATGGAACAAGATGTCGGCCTTCCTGGCGATGAACTGTTGAACCACTGAATTGTCCTGCTCATCGTCCCGGCTGCAAAAAAACAAAACAAAAACAACTTCCAGCTAAATTAAAAGCTCTTTTTTTAAGCAGAATCAGAAACTACGGTACTTATACTGATGAGCTCAATACATTAATTCTCAGAAAAGCAGAAAGCAAAGCAAACAAGGCTCCAACAAAGTTAAGTCAGGTCCTCTGAGGAACTTGACTTGTTGGATTTTTCTACCTGGGTTATTGAACATGAATCTGGGCTGAAATTCAAAATGTCTTATTGAAACGACTGATGCTAAAAGTCGAAACATTAAAAGAATGTCATTGTCAATTTGTTCATACTGCATATATTAAAATAAATGTAACTGAAGAGACACATTGGAAAAAAAAAAAGTTTCCATCCTGTAACTTTTTTTTTTCCTCAAACCGACGTGCATTATGATTTTTTTGCAACCAGTCCAAAATGACCAGAAGTTTTAATTACTGATAACAGAAACTTTGCGAGAACTTTTGGAAGTATGTAGATGACTTATGTGCCAAGGCAGGGGTGTCAAACTCACCTACAAAAGGGGGCCAAAATTAAACCTTTTTCAAACTAAGGGCCAATTTCAGAATCTACATTAACTAAAATCAGATCCCCAACATGTTTTCTTGGTCACGGGTTCCTCAACAAGAGTTTGATTGGTCTCATTTGATGTTCTCTGTTGTGCTTTCAACATCATATTCAAAAATTACTGAAAAAAAATTCAAGTGATAAAAGTATTTTACGTTTCACATATCATCTTGGGGGCCAGATAAGATGTCAACGAGGGCCACATTTGGCCCCCGGGCCTTGAGTTTGACACATATGGTGTATAGGAAGTTTATACAGTAGTTTTAGCTGTAAGTAAAAAGTCATTTTAACAAAAATACAAAGCTTTTTTTTTTTTTACTGAACACTTTAGGTAGAAAAAAAAAGACAGGAAAATTCTTTAAAGTCTGAGTTGCTGGCATACCTTTCATACGTGGCTTTAGACAGGTCTGACACCACGTCTTGGAAGTCTGGGTTCTCGGTTTGTTCACATTTCAGTTTGTTAAACAGCGACTCTCCGTGATAGACCAGACTCTGTCTCAACAAGTCTCTGTCCATCCTTTATTGTGCTCTCACGACACCGCAGTCACATTACAATAAAGGCTGGAGACTACGATTTAAACTCTCTGAAACACGTTTAAACCGGACTGTTTAGTTCATAAACACGGTGAATAATTTTAATCGTTTAAAGAATCTGTTTGTAACCTAAACTACGACGTTTCACAGCGCTGCGAAAGCTAACAAAACAAAAAATGCTAACGCATCGGAATGTCTTTTTCTAGTTTGTTCTCTTCGAAACAACAACCAATGTTCCAACACTTAAAAAATATATGTACCTACACTTTATACCCCTAAACAAAAAAAATACATTTGTAATTGAGTTCACCAACAAAAGCAAATTCCAGCCCACAAATTGTCAAGCCTGGCCTCGAAGGTGCAGGTTGTGTGTTACACTAAACCTCGTCTCGGCAGAAACAAGTGCTGACTAGGAACGTTTATATATAAATAAACAGTGTCAGGGCCCAAAGACCCATGACTGCTAAGATGGTAATATAGAAAAATACTGTGATCTTGAAAGATCATGAATGATGAATAAAAGACTGTGCGTGTTTGTTGATTACTCAATAAATATTTTATGTGTCTGTCAAAGTAAAAATTACTGAAATGATATGTAATCATTATAATCAAAATATTTATATAACCTGCTTTGTGATTAAAAGAGTAATCATTAAGTACCTTGTATACGTTCTAATACCTATCTGAGTGTATGAGACTAACCTGTATAAATAAAAGTTGAATGATTCTATGGTATCCTTAATCAGTTAAAGTTGAGAAAATAGTGAGAATATATATACATGCATACATGTATATATATATATATATATATATATATATATATATATATATATATCATATCATATCATATCATATCACATATCATCACATCATCCCAGTCCCAAAAAGCTCTACAGTGACTGGTCTGAATGACTATCGGCCAGTGGCCTTCACCCCGATAGTCGCTAAATGCTTCGAAAAACTGGTGGGTCATGACCCACATCAAAACAACCATCAACATCAACGAGGACCCTCATCAGTATGCATACCGTGAGAACCGAGCAACAGAGGATGCCATCTCCTCTGTGGTCCACACTGCGCTCAACCACCTGGAGCAGAAAGACTCTTAAATTCGTATGCTCTTTGTGGACTTCACATCTGCCTTCAACACCATGATCCCCCAAACCCTGATGGACAAACTATTCACATTAGGACTAAGCCCCTCCATTTGCAACTGGGTACTAGACTTCTTAACAAACAGACCGCAGTCAGTGAGGATCTACAACTTCTCCTCCTCCACCATAACCCTAAGCACTGGCTCTCCTCAGGGATGTGTGTTGATCCCCCTCCTGTTTACTCTGCTCACATATGATTGTGCAGCTACCCATCCAGGCTGTCACATTGTAAAGTTTGCAGATGATACAGCGGTGGTGGGATGCATCACAAACAATGATGAGTCCAGCTACAGGCAAGAGGTGGAACACCTGGAGAGCTGGTGCAGAGAGAATAACCTTCACATCAATGTGAAGAAGACAAAGGAGATGATTGTGGACTTCAGAAGGAACAAAAACATCTACACCCCCCTGAACATAAGAGGATCTGCGGTGGAAGTGGTCTCCAGCTACAAGTACTTGGGTGTACACATGAATGACAACCTCAGCTGGAGCAACAACACCACCAGCCTGATCAAGAAAGCTCATCAGAGACTCTACTTCCTCAGACGGTTGAGACGAGCTGGTCTGGGAAGCTCAGTCCTCACCTCCTTCTACAGGTGTGCAGTGGAGAGCATCCTGTGCTCCAGCATCAACATGTGGCATGGAGGCTGCACAGCTGCAGAAAGAAAAGCTTTGCAGAGAGTGGTGAAGGCTGCACAGAATACTGTTGGAGTCAGCCTCCCCACCATCACAGACATCTACACCTCTAGATGCAGGAAGAGGGCCACCTGCATCATGAAGGACCCCACTCACCCAGCACACACACTTTTTGCCCCGCTCCCCTCAGGAAGGAGGTTGAGGAGCATTAAGTGTAGAACCACTAGACTGAGGAACAGCTTCTACCCTGAGGCTGTTAGACTCATGAATCTCTAACCAGAATAATCACTGTGAAAAATCACATCATGTTGCTGCTGATGTTTCATGTTGATGTGTTCATGCGTGCTCATCTGCTCACACAGACTCATGCTCATGTTCGTGCTGCTGTTCGACGTAATGTTTTTATGTTATGAGTGCTTAGTGTATATTTAGTTGATGTTTTACTTAGTTCATATCTTAGATGTTATCATTGTTTTCCTTTTACATTTAATTGTTGGATGTTACTGGGACCCATCCATCCATCCATTATCTTTACCCGCTTATTCCATTTTGGGTCACGGGGGTTGCTGGTGCCCATGTCCAGCAATCACTGTGCGAGGGGCGGGGTACACCCTGGACAAGTCGCAAGTCCATCACAGGGACACATAAAGACAAATGAGACAAAAAAACATTCACTCTCTCACTCACACCCAGGGACAATTTAGAGTTACCAATCAGCCTAACATGCATGTTTTTGGTCTGTGGGAGGAAACCGGAGTACCCGGAGAAAACCCACGCATGCACGGAGAGAACATGCAAACTCCACCCAGAAAGGTACCCAGACTGGGATTTGAACCAGGGACCTGTGCGCTGAGAGGCAGCAGCTCCACAAGTTGCGCCACCGTGCTGCAGGGAAAAAGTCATAATTCCTTTTTAGCCTTTTCAGTTCATTTCAGTTTATTTATATAGCGCGTCACAACAGAAGTCGTCTCAGGAAACTGTTCAGTGATTTGTAGACATACAGGAGTATTTTGAACTGGATTCGAAAGTGAACCGGTAACCAGTACAGTGAGGCCAAAACTGGTGTAATGTGCTCTCTTTTGCCTGTACTGGTTAAAAATCGGGCTGCTGCATTCTGGACCAGTTGCAGTCGTGCTACAGAAACATTCATATTTTAAAATAATAATTTAACATTATTTATCTGAGGAGCAGTCTGCTTTGAGTTTAACTCCATCGCAGAACTCTCATCTTGAGAAAACATGAAGGCGACAGTGGAAAGGAAAAACTCCCTCACGAAACCTTTAGCAGAACCAGGCTCAGGACAAGTCTGCTTTGACTGGCTGGGTTTGATAGGAACAGATACACAATGGTAGGTCAAGAATCACATGTTACGATAAAAATGGTATCAAATGAAATCATTAAGGAAATTATGTCAATATGTCCTCCAGTAGTCTAAGCTTAAGGCAGCATGACAAGCCGACCTATAGGATTTATCAAAAAGGAAAGTCTTAAGCCCAGTCTTAAAACTGGACAATGTGTCAGCCTCACAGACAGAAACTGGAAGATGGTTCCACAAGAGAGGAGCCTGATAACTGAAAGATCTCCCTCCCATTCTGCTTTTGGACACTCTAGGGACCGCGAGTAAACCTGCAGTCTGAGAGCGAAGTGTTCTGTTATATTTTTAAATGTTTGCAAATTATTTTATTTTACTTTATTCAAGTGTTCATACCCAGTAGCTAAAACTTCAGTTTCACTTTACTTTAAACAAAAAGTACAAAATAAATTAAAAAAAATAATAAAAACTACTTGGAGAACAACTTTTTTCCTGGAATTCCCTAAAATGTTTAGACATGTCATGTATTTTAAGCACAAAAGAAAAGAAACTCTGATCAAGTAACTTGATCTGTTACAGAGACTTAAGTGAAGGTGCTGGAAAATCCAATAATTACTGGAGAAGCAGTTATGAAATTGGGCTACCAAGATACTAGATTTCTTGCTGAGGTTTACCTTTTGTACAAAGTAATACATCTAACTAGACCCAAAGTATTTTACCCTGAAGCAGGAAAATCACTGTCCACAAAGCACAATTAAATCTATTATATAACTTGTTTAAAATGACCCCATTACCTGGTTCTGCTCTCAGACTCGTTTTTCAACTCAACTGGAATTTCAGATGTGTTGAATGTACTGTGCTTCAGAACATCACTGGAATGTTGCAGTACGGGAAAATCAAGGATAATAACATGTTAACTTCACTGTACTTCAGAAAAATATGTAAACGTGACAGGTAGGATTTCTTTTTAATTGCTGACTTCTTGTGTCCCACTTCTTTTTCTGATGCCGTTACATCTCTTCTTAGTTTTAGAGATCTGAGGGGGTTTAAATGTTGTCAAAATAGCATTTGAAGCTGTGCTTATGTTACAAGTGTGGGATTGTCGAATTATAATCTAAAACATAATTAACTAATAATCTAATTAAAATTTAAAACATACAATTAACTCAGAATCAATCGCATTTAAAAAGCAATAACTCAAAACATTATTAAGCCAAGAGTTATTGCGTCATTAAGAATTTCCCATAATAATGTTGTATACAAAGTTCAAGGGCGCCTAAAAAGATAAACTTGTGGAACCATAATCCAGTCTACAGTGGTGGATTTTGTGTGCAATTTTTACAGACTATAAAACTAAATTTATAGAGTCTTATACAAGAAACGTAAGTGCAACAGTTTCAACCAAATTGTATCCTTTTAGTGCAAGTGTTTCAACCAGAGTGTGCTGGTATTCATTGCTTTTTTATATTTAATTTGATGATTCTGTTTTTATCCTCACTCATTGGCTGGATAGAAAATTAATGCACCTTGATAGTCGTTGTGAGAAACAGAATCCACTGTACTGAATATTTTGGTGGGCAATCAAATTTTTAAATAACTTCAATATGTATTAGAAATAAAAAAGGGGGCATGTATTATAAAGTTTGACAATTAAGACTAATCCTTTGAATCGGCTACAATTAAACACAGTGTGGCCTCACAACTCGTTTCTTTTTAAGAACCGTTCGTGTGTGCTTCTAAAAACTCAGTGCAAACTGATGTGTGTGACAAACATTTTATTTTCTAAAATGTGCTTTTTAATTGGCAGAATGATGAGTGTTATTATTTCTTATCTAATGTACTTTCTTTTGAAGAAGTGTATGTGTATTTCATTTCCCCCTGGTTTTTCAGGTTTTAATAAACCTAACTGATGACTTGTCACGCCCTCTACATTGTTGAAGGAGGAACAATTCATAACCTTAAATCTTTATGCAACTACAGATAAACGAGCTGCCGGCACTGAGTGGTGGAGGACGCAATTCACTTTACTACAT